TTCAATGAAACCATCAGGCAGTGAGTCATGCTGTGCATGTAACCTGGAGGAAAGTGCAAAGAGGCTGCCGAGGAGCAGCAGCACAAAAGTACCATTGGCATCGTTTCCCTAGGAGAGCAGGGCTCTGGACAATTTCCACACTCTATTGCTGTTTTTCTATTACATGCATTCTCCACTAAAATGTGTAATAGAATTGAGGACACAGTTATGAGTAAAGAGCCTTCTCGCACATGCTGTTCCATAATTAAAGAACAGCTATAATAGAAAGCCTACTTTTTCTTCTTCTTCTTTTTTTTTTTTTTTTTTTGCATTAATGAGCTCAAATTCTTATAGGCATTAAAAGGGCACATGCTTTTTTTTTTTTTTCTAATTTACAGATTAAAAAAAACTCAGAACAGATCAAGAAGATGGCTGTAGTTTGAACTCTTTAGTGAAAGAAGATGCACTATCATTAGCAACAAAACAATTTTAATTAGTCCACTCCTGGATATGCAGTGACGCACGCCAAAGCATAGAAGTTTGGAAGAATTGAAAATATGCACTTGGCTTGCTAAAGAGGGTTCAAATCCACAAGAAATGAATAACTTTCAAAGTATTTTCATTTGCAATTTTTAATTACCTATGTTTTATTATGTCCATTTTTTCTTATTTTGTCACTGAAGGTACCAAAAAGTGATTTGGAGATGTTCCCCTCCCCACCCTAATTGTGCTTCTCTCACTTCAGCTCAGTGGATGGAGCATATTGTTAATAAGCTGAAGAGGAGAAAGTCAGCCTAATTAGTAATGCCTCGTTGCATTAGGAATCAAGGTCTGTGGCAACCAACCTGCAGAGACGCAGTGGGAAAACATGATTGCTGTTTGATTCAGCTGCACCAGGCATTGAGTTAAGATTATAGTCTCAGGGATAGGTGTCCTGCTTGGGAGAACGAGCAAAGAGCATGGTCCTGAGTGCACTGAATGGGGTCTCAGCAGTGTGTGAGCAATGTCAGCAGTCTTCTCTTTTGTGGCTGAACCAGGGGAGCCAGGAATCTCAGCTCTGTTGTATTAAAAATCATGATTTAAACAGTGCAGTCAGCAGGACGAGGGAAGATATCATCCCTCTGTACTTAGATCTGGTGAGGCCACACCTTGAGTACTGTGTTCAGTTTTGGGCCCCTCATTACAAGAAGGACACTGAGGCCCTGGAGCATGTCCAGAGAATGGCAACAAGACTGTGAAGGGTCTGGAGCACAAGTCTGATGGGGAGTGAATGAGGGAATTGGGATTTTTCAGTCTGGAGAAAAGAAGGCTCAGGGGAGACCTTATTGCTCCCTATAATGACCTAAAAGGAGGTTATGAGAAGGTGAGGGTCAGATTCTTCTCCCATATAACAGTGATAAGATGAGAGGGAATGGCTTTTATGTTGTGCCAAGGGAGGTTCAGGTTGGATATTAGGAAACATTTCTTCTCAGAAAGTGTGATGAGGCAGTGGCACAGGCTGCCCAGGGAGGTGGCGCAGTCACTGTGTCCCTGGAGGTGTCCAAGACTGTGTGGATGTGGCACTGAGGGATGTGGTCAGTGAGCATGGTGGGAATGGACTGATGGTTAGACTAGATGATCTGAGAGGTCTTTCCCAGCCTTTATGATTCTATGATTTCCCAGAAATTTCATCTCTGTGACATGCTATATCCCAAAACCACCCACTGTGCACAACAGCATAGTGGCTTGCCTTTTGCCCCAGTCTGGAAAGAGTTAAGGAGAAAGGCTAATTGCAACACAGGGTAGTTGTATGCTGGAGCAGGCTCAAAGGTAAGTCCCAATTTCTCCTCCCCTGCTTGCCAGGTTACATGAGACGTGGTAATGGAGAGTAGCTGTGGAGAGACTGTGATAGCTTTTGGTGGCAATGAGGTTATGCCTGTTTCTATACAGGTATAGAAAGCTTTTTACCCATATCAGATACTAATTGCTTTTTTTTCTTAAAAAAAGAAAATCTCTCCAAACCCAGAGCCATCCTCAGAAGGAGCAGGCAGCACTGGGTGCTCTCAGGAGCCCACACGGGTTGACATATTTTCTTTTAATCTGCAGAGACATTTAATACCTGTTGAGGTGTGATTTGTCTTTTTTTTTTGTCTCTTGGGAGATTAAGCATATTTTTGTGTCAGCTTTTTTTTTTTTTTCTTTTTCCTATGGGATGCTTTAGACTTCTAGATTTGAAGCAATTTTTTGCTATCCCATTATACAATGTTATGTGCCTTGAGGTGCTCGCATCAACAAGGTCCAATTAAATGGACCTTGTAAGTTTAGCAGGGGTAACACTGCTGGTATGTGATGCAGTTTCCTTTCATGGAGACCACCTCCCCGTTGCCAAGAAGGATACACTCGGACACTCTCAGCAGAGGGTAGGTTTGATTTTTCACCCATATTTTTTTAGCAAAGCAGTGCAAGGTGACATTCGGCACATGCAGAGTGGTTAAGCCAAGTAATATGATTCAGAAATAGAGATAAATCTGAAGAAATTTTTAAAAAAATAAATCACTGTACGACAAGCAGTGTTATTCTTTTGAAGGATCTCTGTCTGTGTGAAAAAACGTAGTCAGACACCGCTAGCTGAGTAAAAAGACCTTCACCCAGTGACTCTGCAGAAAGAAGGGCTGGCATTTTGATAGCAAAATCTTTCTGGCTTTTTGAATGCTATGTTGCATGGAAACGGCATAAAACAGAAATATGAGGGCAGGAATCAGAGAAGTTGATAAATAAATGAACTGAGAATTTTATATTTTTCTTTTACCCTGGGGCAAAATTTTCTTTTACAGCTGTCACACGCCACTGACCCCAGGGATGACCCAAGCAATCCCCATTGCCACCAGCTTACTCCTATCCTAGGCTGGCAGCTAGAAACCTTATTATCTTGCTGGGAGACAGAGAATACTTGAGATAGATGTCATTGTGATGGCAGAATATCCAGAATAACAGCATAAAAGTCCTCTTTTCCCTCTGAACTGAATTTTAAAGAGGTATTTGATACTTATTGGGAAAATGCTTCCACCTTGAAGACACAAATGGATGGTAATGGTAGCCTGCATACTTAAATGTACAGATGTTATGTATTTAATAGTCAGTGCTTGGATCTCAAAATTTGAGATTTGTCAACACTGTCAACATCCTACAGTTGCTCCACAAGAGAGAAATACTTCTGGCCCAAAGCATTCTGAAGCAGCTTTGTTATTTGCATTAAATTCCTTTTCAGAATGATTTCCTTGGGAGCAGCATTTCACAAAACTCCTTCCTTTGTTAAGTGGCAATGTATCACACAAAGGCATTTGGATCTCATTCACAACAGCAAGATTTTACTTGATGACAAAACAGGGCACCACCTTGGCCCATTCTGTGTTTCCTTCAGATGAGTTGCATGTTATGAAATAATTTCTAGCATTTACTTTTGCTTTTATATTTTGTCTGCCCTTTCCTGTAAATGCAGTATACAATGGTGGTCTTAAAGCCTTTTCAGAAATTAAATCAGAAGTTATTCATAATCTCTAAAAAATAGTTATATTTAATGCAAGGAAAAAAATTTTCCTTCTATGTTACTATCACACAGCATTTCCAAAGAGGACTTGATATTTAACTCTGATATTTCACTAAAGCCAGGACTCAGCAAAACTGAATTGATCAGGAAAATATTGAGGAAAATGTACTCACGTGCCTCAGATGATCATTTGGCTATTAGAATAGCAAAATACACCCGACACAGAAACATCTCAGCCATGCACCATCCATGTGCTTGTGGATTTGGGTATACATATGTATGCAACATTTTGGTCCCCCTTTGACATTAAATTTGTTGATGGATAATGACTGCTTTTATCTCTGGGTGTTTTGATACTGTACTTCAGTAAAATATACAATCTGAAGAGGCTAATTTTTGGACACCTCACGTAAGCTGTGAGTTTTTGCAAGTCTACTCTGCACCCTGAGCTATGAGAAGAGTAGTTGAAAACTAAGCTAGCTGCATGAACAAAGATGTCTGAGACCACATCCTTCTAAAAATACTTTCCTGGGTCAGAAAAAGCCAACAGTCTTGTCCTGCTCTTCACTGGCATATTTTATATGATCACAGAATCATATGATCACTGAGACTGGGAAAGACCACTAAGATTACCCAGTCCAACTGTCAGCCCACCCCCACCATGCCCACTGGCCATGTCCCTCAGTGCCACATCTACATCCCTGAGCACCTTCAGGGATGGTGACTCCACCGCTTTCAGGGCAGCCCGTGCCACTGCCTCACAACTCTTTCTGAGAAGAAATAGTTCCTAATATCCAACCTGAACCTTCCCTGGCACAACTTAAAGCCATTCTCTCTCCTCCTATCACTGTTACGTGAGAGAAGAATCTGACCCCCTCCTCACCACAACCTCCTTTCAGGAGCCAGTGATGAACTGATCACCTCATCCTCTCCTGGGGATGTACCTACCCAGAGGAACAGTCAGTGGCCCCTGTTGCACCTCCTGCCTGTTAACAGATTGCAGAGAGCCAGGTCTACCTCACCCCACCTCCAGCACCCATCGCGTATTCCTGGGATATCCACATAAATGTGGTTTTCCCTTATATCAGTGACACAATGTTCTCTGCAGGATTTTGTCACTTTAATATTCCTCAGAGTGCCTCCAAGTGCATGTTCATTTTTCTTACTTCTAGAAAGAACGGCTTGGCCCCTCTTCTTTATCACCTAGAAAGATTAAATTAGCTTCACTACTGATAGTAGACAAGATATACTTCATATTCCAGAGGCAATCTGACTACAAGACCTGAACTGAGCAAGAGTAATTCAATTGACTTCACTGAAGCTGCACTAATTTAGACCAACTATAAATTCATCTTTTCTTGTGAAATATGTCTAGGAGTGACCTTGCAGTGCCCAAATGACTGAATTAATTCTGGGCAGCATTTCACCCTCAAAATAACACAGAAATTGGAGAAGTCCTTTTTTTTATTTAATTTTTTATTTTGTTTTATTTTATTTTACAAAATTGGTTGAAATTTTGCATTTCCTCCTTCACAGGGTAAGTAAAAGGCAATGCTGGAATAAAGATGAGGGTAGAATTAGGCCAATGTCTTACATCATCCACATGATAACTACAATTAATCCACGATGCTTTTAAGATACAGATGAGGAAAACAGAGTATGTTTTTTTGCAGTATTGTTCTTTCCTCTTCATGTCTATTCCCTTCTTTTCACAGTAACTTTTTTATCCCCTTCAAAGTTGATTTGTTTCTGTAAAAAGAAGAAAAAATCCCACTGTATACTTTATTGATTATTAATTTGAAATACTTTAGAAGACCCAGGTGGCTGCATAAAAACTGAGAGGCTGCAGCAGAGATCTTTGCAACCCTTTCTTAAGCCATCCATGTTTCATTTACCTGTTGAAGGTCACAGCTCTTGACAAGAGAGCCAGTTCGATTACAAGGAGACTATTATATGTTTCTAGAAAGATCAGGGAAACAAAAATGAGCACAGGTGGTTTTCTGAGAGGATCACCCAATGTACCTAGGCCATACCAAACCTGGCCAACCAAATCTGGGTGTGCTGCTTGCTGTCAGCAGTTTATTTACCATCATAATGGAAATCCATAGATACTGGCTCATTCAAACTCAATGTTGCTATGCTACCTGGGACAGCAATGGCAAAGGCCCCAGCCAGTATTGGGCTTCCTGGCATTCCTATGGCAATGTGAAGAGGCCCTCCGGAATATTTGGGAGATCAGGGAGAAGAATATACATTTTTTTTCTATATGAATGCCGTATATTCTTAGAAAACAGAAAAACAAATCAAACAATTCAGTAAAACTTGACTTTACTTACTGACATTCCTCTGACAAAAAGTTGAACCAACATCCCCTTCTATCTGACAAATGAATTTGGATTACTTAACTTAAATAAAGGAATACATTTGCCTTAACCTAACCTAGCTCCTTTTTAATCAGGGAAAGAAAGCACTTATTGTAATTTAAGTAAAAATCAGTGTATAAAAATCAGCTTATAAGTAAGTTTCTCTGCAGTGCCAATTATTTTTACAGCATTTCTGACTGCTGGAATTAATTCCAGTTGGAAACCAAGATGCACAGGTCCCATAGAGTGAAATCTGGGATACAATTTTTTCTCACCACTGCAGAATTTTATGGCCATATCTTTTCTCTGTTTTTTTTTTTTTTTTTTTTCCTGCTCATATTGACTCCCAACTAATGAAAGTTCTAAGTATAAGTATGATTAACAATACAAACTTAAGAAACTGTATGTAAACTGCCACAAGAAGAACAGATCAGAGTTACGCTTACCAGAAACTCAATCAACTGTTGCCAACCACTACACACTAGTAATGATTACTGCATTTTTCTCATTAGAAAGGCAGCTGTCATATAGCTTACGGTTTGGACAGAAAGAAATAAGTTAGCATATTGCTTAAGAGCTGTCTGCTATATCCCTAAATGTGAGTCTTTTCCTGTGTTTTGCCAAAAATATGCTAGAACATAAAATCCTTCATTCTGCAGAATAATAAATGTCATGTTTCCATTTCCCAGTGTCTTGTCAGACTGTTTAAGATAATCAGGATCAAATAAGACACGGATGGTGAGCTTAGGACCTCAGACTTCGGAGTGTTGGTTTTGACACTGATAAGGGCAAGTGACAAGCTGAGCAAAGACTTTGATGCTGGGTAGCACTGCTGAACCATCACAGGGATCTGGTTCATAACTTTCAGCCACAACTTTCAGTAAGCAGCTGATACAACCCTAAAACTCTGCTATCAGACAGTAACACCTAAAGATTGTAGCAGACATACAGATGGGAGCCAAAATAATTTGCCTGTATGCTAAAGCAGGGGCATGTAAATCAGCCTGGAAATCAGGCCTCCCTTTTGGTGTCATGTGCTGGAGAACACAGATCTGTTGTGAGTTCTGAATAATCCTAGCAAAAGAAATGCAAAAGTAAGTTTTCAACATGTGTTGCTTGTTTAACCATACCAACCCCCATTGTAAAGAATGGATGAATGCTTCCAATGACTTTCTGCAGACAGAGTGAAAGTAAAGCTGCTTAGCACTCATTACAGTAGGGACAAGAACAAGGATATGTCAACCATATTTTATCCATAACGCCTGCAAGTTCTCTTTAAAGCGCCTAGCAGCCTATGTTTCAACAATAATGCTGATTCATGGATGGGTAACGTAAAAGCAAATTCACTTTTGAGCCCCTTTTCCCCATCATTCTTTGCCGCTAATTCTCCCACGGTCAGTTCAGTCATCTCGAGTATCTGATAACACAGATTATCCGAGCATTTATTTTCAGAGGATGGTACATTCAAACAAGTTATTTATGGAGAAGGCCACTCCAGCACAACTGCTATACATTGTCAGGCAGAAAGAATCTGTGCCTCTTGCATGTAACATAATTAAATATTCTATGCTATGAGAAGCAAATTATTATCACCAAATTGTGTGAAGAAGTAAAACCTAGTTTGCAAATAACTTGACCAAAATCTGAACAGTGCTGATGCTGGATTTAGTGAATTCAATGATGCTGAATTTAGTGGAATTCTACCACCTTGTGTGGAGTTTTATTGGGAGTCTTCTGTTCTGTCCTATCCTTCTTTCACTGTATTCTATGCTATAATGTCTGAACCCATAAGGCTATCTCTGAAAAAATCTGTCAGCTTGAGATGAGATGCTCAGTGGGATTTTCAAAAGAGCTTATGTGTTTTTTTACCTAGGCGTTTATAAAACTGCCACATTGACAAGAATGATTCTCCCAGTTTTTCGATACCATATGGTCCATGTGCTGTTAGGAGGCCATCTACTGTGTTTCCTTGTTAGTCATTCAAGTACATATTGTGTCCATCTGCAGCTCTCATATGTAGTTTCACTGTAATTGCCCTTTTCTGAGTACTGCGTTTCATTCTGCTTTGTGCTGGCTTGCAATAATGTTCTTCCTATGACACGCTTCACCACATGCTCCTTAAAAAGTGCAGTAGTGCCATGCTGAACGGTACAGTAGATGCTTACAGAGAGCTCACCCGTGACATACAATAAACCAAGGAGCAGTGCTACAATCACATTCCACGCTCCAACCTGGGCAGGAGAGGCAGTGTAAAGGTCAGACACTGCACTCTGGTGTCAGCAGAGTGAGCAGAGTTACCAGGAGGCAGATTCCCCTCTGCCAGGGCTTCACAAATCCTCCATCACAGCACTGGCTTTGGGGATAATTTGAGAATGACACAATTTGTATTCTCAAAGATCTCATTACACATATTGCTCATTTAACCTTTAAAAAAGCTGGAAGAAAGTATGCCAATGGATTCTGGCTGATAAATATCTAAATTGAGTAAATTTAATTAAAAACTGTTGTAAATGTCATTTAATCTGTGGATGCTGTGACAATACCCGTTGTAGCTTTGAACCAGTTTCAAAATGCGTAAAGATATCCTTACATGAGTTTGTACTGGATGGTTTCTTTATTCTTTCTTTCACAAGAAAAGGCAGGTTGGACTTTTATTGCTCAGTAAAAGTACTGAACTGAAATCTTGGAGAACTTTCTTGTGCCTTGTTACTGCCAGGTGATGCTGGCTGGAACAGTGCTTTCTCTCTGAAGTCATTAAGTGTTTTTTTGCCAGATAAAAGATGTGGGAGGAAAGAAAGATTTATGTTAAGTTTCAGCTAGGGAATCCTATTTCTCAGTACGCAGGAAATGAAAAGATCAGTGCATCTTTTTCAGCTTCTATTCTGGCCACATCATCAGCCCCTCTGTTACTTTAGTGCACACCAGTGGTATCTGCTCAGTAGGGAGCACGGCTTGATGAATTTAGCAAAATCTTGTTGGCTGACCTTTTCGCACTGGAGACATGATTTCATTTCTGTTGTCTGAAAATGAGCACCAACAAGACAAGTTATTTCCATGTCCCAGCTGGAATATTGCAGTGCTAATGTATTTCCAAACATTTCTTTATCTATACAAAGCTATTAGTTTCAGGTCTATCTAAGAACAACAGTGTTTCTCTTTTTTCTGCTTTCTTCATGTACCAGCAAAAGTCACAGGATTTCGCTCCATTATTCCACTCAATCTGTAACTGCAAATATCAAACCAAAAATTGCTTTTTGGAACAGCGAGGTAGGAAAGCTCACAGAGGTGTACTGTCATACTAATGCTAAGGCATAAGCAGAAACCAGTTCAAGAATTATTTCACTTGCAGCATCCGCAATATGTAGGATCCCAGACAGGCAAACTGAGCAGAGCACCGGTGACATGAGCTCAGCCATTATACTCCATTAACTGCCCAATATTGCTGCCAAATTAGTTCTTCTGGTTTAATTACTCCTCAGTTTCTGCCACTAACCCTCAGGTTTTAAAGTTCTATCCTATTACAGAGGAGTTTTGGTTTGGTTTTTGTAAAAGAGAAAGGGATGATCCAGCAGAATGATCTTAAAGAGTGATTGGGCAAAGCTACAGCAGCAGAGCTGACATGTTGTTCTTCAGGGGCACCCAGTGGCCTGGGAAGTAAAGGAGTAATAAACATCTATAGCAGGACAGAAGCAGAAACCAACATTAACAACAAGAATAGCTTATCAGACTGTGCTGTCACATCATCCTCTGTGGAGATGTCAAAAAAAAGCCCACACTGAAGTAAGACGGGCATCTCTTGTAATATTTCAACAGGTGATGAGTGCCTAAGTGGCTTTTATGCTTTTGCTAACATTCCCTGGCAATGCAGCCTTCAGCGAAGTGGACTATGAATCCCAAAGAAACCAAAGAAAGATGTAAAAAATGTTCAGATAATTCAAAATATTCAAATCACTATTCATCAGGTCACAGGTCAACTTCTACCACAGTTTGAGAAATGTTTGGAGCTCATTTAATAATTCACCTTCTGAAGATTTTGAAGCCTTTCTCTGTTGCAGGAGAACAGATTTTGTTCTAGAGAACACTTATACTTTTATTGCTTGTTGTTCATCCAAAGTGAAGAAAGCATCTTGTTCCCAACCCATGCCTGAACCCAGTGGCACCTGTTTGACTGAACAGATTCTATACTAGGTGAATAATACAGTAATGTGCAAATGGATGTACAAAAACATGTTTTGGGAACATCCTGTTTCGTGATGAGGAAAAGGAACAAGAACAATATTTCCTTTTCCTTGAATTCAGTTCTCAGGTCGTCACAGGTATGTTCATTTCAAAGGGAACATTTTTTACCTTTTTCCCTGACACCTTCTATACAGAAGTGAGCCATCTTTTTTTTCCCCAGTGTCAGTTAAGGATTATTAGAGTAGGAGTAGGCACAATACAGAAAATCATAGATAAAGTAGATCGATTCCTATTTACAGACTTACCTTACAGTTTTGCCCATTTCTTGCTCTTTGGACTTTATTTCTTTATTCATATATTCTATTAATATTCACATGCTCCAATTAAAAATAGCATTTACCTGGATAAAATTCCCACTAACAGTTCCAGATCTGGCTACACCTGTGTCTACCCAGCACAGTCAATCTCAGGAGCTCTGCAGACCATGGTCTTGTCTCTTCCTTTTGGTAACACTGCCCTTCTTATCATTACACCAGCTTGTTTGGATTTTTTTCCCCAGGAAATTAAAACCCTGGTTGAGGC